GAGGGGGGATTTGATAGCAGCCTTCAACTTCCTGCAGGGAGGTTCCAAAGAGGATGGAGACAGGCTGTTCTCAGTGGTGACAGATGGCAGAACAAGGAGCAATGGTCTCAAGTTGTGGTGGGAGAGGTGTAGGTTGGATATTAGGAAAAACTATTTCCCTAGGAGGGTTGTGAAGCACTGGAATGGGTTCCCTAGGGAAGTAGTGGAGTCTCCATCCCTAAAGGTGTTTAAGACTCGGTTTGACAAAGCCCTGGCTGGGATGATTTAGTTGGGATTGGTCCTGCTTTGGGCAGGGGGCTGGACTTGACCTTCTGAGGTATCTTCCAGCTCTAGGATTCTATGATTCTATAAGTGAGGAGAAGCTGGGACTCCTAAGTGTCCCTGGATTTGCCTGTTACCATGGGGTACACTCGTGTACTGGGGTTTCACTTCTGAAGAGGGTGGGCGTGATAACTTGTCAATGTGCTGCTTTTGTTACTTGTGCTCTCACATGGGGCTCAACGTCTCCCTTCTGCCAGTTCCCTCCCAATGGAGCTCTCCTGTGGGATCCAGGTTTCCCGGAACTGGGTTCTGCCCGCCCTAGAATCAGAGGAGCACAGATACTCACACCCGCTAACTGAGCACATGTGAGAGGACTGATTAATCGGCATTCAACAGCTTACCTCTGATATGTCCCTGTACCCAGTAGGTGGGTTTTACAGCAATGTCAGCATGTGGCCGTCTTGTGCCTTTGGACTCAGTGGGCTGCGTTTAAACAGCACTTTAAGCTGCCACCCGCATATGCCCCCAGGTACAGCACATACCGACCTCCGCTTTCGCGGCACAACCATTCTGCTAGTAACCCACTGGTTGAGCAAACCCCACTGGATTCTTGAGAGACACGGGGATCTTTAGCGTAGGTACAAGGAGTGGTGTTGCAGAGTGAATGGGGAAGCTAAAAACATCACCCCAAAGAGGGGGGCAGAGAAAGGAAGGCAGAGAGAGAAACAGTCTGCTTAACCATGAAAGTTTATATTTCCAGGTAAGTACCATATAAGGGGAGCCTAAGAAACAAAACATTTAGCACATTAAATCTAATGTAAGTCTGAATTCAAATGTCAGGGCTAGTGATCCATCCCTGATTACATGAGGCAGGGTCAAGAGGCTTTTACATAAGAGATCTCACCGCTCCGTGAAGCTTGACTCGATCGGGGTTCCCAGGTGGTGATGGCAGCTGAGGGTCCAGAGCGTTGGAGACAAACAGAGGAAAGCTCCCAGCAGGGTCCGTCAGGAGCAGATGCAGTGTCAATGGGACTGATGCAGAATGGACATCCAGGCATCAGAAGGCCACTGGAGGCTTTGGGGGCAGTTCTGAACAGTGTAATGGGGAACACGGGATTGTTTCTGGTAAACTGAGGGCTCATGGAGTATCCCAAAGTTGTTTTGTTTAGGCTAGACAATAGGAACGGCTCATTCCTGGCGATGGGGTGGAGATCATTTGAGGGAGCTCCGAATGCAATTAGTCAGCTTCAGTATTTTGGATACCAATAGAGGATTTATTACTAACATTGGTCTGGTAATTACTGATCTGGGTATGGACAGGTGTGGGTTCATTAGCATCAGGAGCAGAGATTTCCCATCAGGCACTGCGTTCCTGCTTCCCTGTCCCAGAATTCCCTGCAGTGCTTGTCTTGGAATAGCTGTTCTCTGTTCTGTAAGCTGATGGAAAGGCCTCCCTCTCCTTCCTCCAATGCAAGTGAGGCTGGGCTGTTTCCTGAACCCTGTCACCCTTGTCCGGAGGGTTTTAGTGCGTCTGTCTCTCCCTTTTCACTGCTTTTTGTAAATCTTCCTTCAGATCGGCTTTGGTTCAGGCAGAGGCTGCGGGAGGGGCGGAGATCTTTCCTGAGCTTTATGCCCTAATTCCCCAAGAACACAAAGCTGGTAGGTAACGGAAGAGACCTCAGTTCTCCCCCGTCTCACCGAGGGGTGGGTTGCAGTCAGCAGGTGCCATATCATCCAATCAGAATCAGTCCGGGCTTCCCATTCATCCTGTCGTAAATTTCCTCCCTACGTTTATTTCCCTGAGAGTGTTTGGTGGGATGTGGAGTTGGAATCCAATGTCTCAATCTCTCCAATAGTTACTGTGCTGTGTTCTCCTTCTCTGCCTTCTGCCCTTTCCTCCCGGCACTGGCAGTGACTCCTTTCTGGATTCTCTCTCTCTCTCTCCCAGCAGGTGATAGGACAGTGAGTGACAACAGGGACGTGACTCAGCAGCAGGGAGGTCCTGGGGAAATGGAATCCCAGGAAGCGTTTTTGGGCAGAGCTAAAGGGAATGTTCCCCAGGACTTGGAATGGGGAAATGCCTGGGGAGATGGACACAGATCAGAGGTTAAGCTGGGAACCTATCCCGGAAAGAAAACGGGTGAATCCATTCCATGTGGCGGAGCATCCGAAGGAAATGATCCCAAGGAAATGACCGTCCAGCAGACAAGTCACAATGACAAAAAATCCTACAAATGCCTTGACTGTGGGAAAAGCTTTCGTCATAGCTCAAGGTTTATTATACATCAAAGAATCCACACAGGAGAAAGGCCCTATAAATGCCCCGAGTGTGGGAAAAGTTTCAATCACAGCTCAAACTTTTTTCAGCACCGGAGAACACACACAGAAGAAAGACCCTATAAATGCCGTGAGTGTGGGAAAGGCTTCAGCTTGAAATCGACCCTAGTTAAGCATCAGCTGATCCACAGAGGAGAGAAACCCAATAAATGCCAGGAGTGTGGGAAAAGTTTTATTCAGAAGTCACAACTGATTATACATCAGAGGGTGCACACCGGAGAGAGACCCTTTAAATGCCATGTGTGTGGGAAAACGTACATTGACAACTCCAAGCTCACAAGACATCAGCAAACCCATACAGGTGAACGACCTTTTAAGTGCCTTGAGTGTGGGAAAGCTTACACTTGGAAATCAAACCTTAATGTACATCAGAAAATCCACACAGGAGAGAAACGTCATACATGCTCAGACTGTGGAAAAACTTTCAGTCAGAGTGCATACTTTACTTATCACAGGAGAACGCACTCAGAAGAAAGACCCTATAAATGCCTTGAGTGCGGAAAAGGTTTCAATTGGAAATCTACCCTTAATTCACATCAGAAAACCCACACAAAAGAGAAACCCCATACATGCTTGGAATGTGGAGAATCATTCAGTCGGAGCTCGCACCTTCTTGATCACATGAGACTGCACCCAGGAGAAAGACCCTTTAAATGCCTTGAGTGTGGGAAAGGTTTCAATTGGAAATCAGCCCTTAAATCACATCAGAAAACCCACACTGGGGAGAAACCCTATACATGCTTGGACTGCGGGAAAACTTTCAGTCGGAGCTCACACCTGACTTATCACAGGAGAACACACTCAGGAGAAAGACCTTATAAATGCCTTGAGTGTGGGAAAAGTTTCAGTGTGAAATCAACCCTTCATGCACACCAGAAAACCCACACTGGAGAGAAACCCCATAAATGCTTGGATTGTGAGAAAACATTCAGTCGGAGTTCACACCTTATTTATCACAGGCGAATGCACTCGGGAGAGAGACCTTATAAATGCCTTGAGTGTGGGAAAGGTTTCAGTTGGAAATCAGCCCTTCATAGACATCAGAAAACCCACACCAGCGAGAAACCTCATACATGCTTGGACTGTGGGAAAGCTTTCAGCCAGCGCTCATACCTTAATAGTCATGGGAAAATCCACCTGAGAGAGAGGTCTTATGAATGCCTTGACTCTAGTCACCTGTCCTCACCCCTGTCTTCCTCCAGGCCCCAGACTGTGCTCGCCCCTCACCTCGGGCTGTTCCCTGCAGGAGAAGTGTCCCTGGGGGCTCGTAACTCCTCCCTTCCCTGGATCCCTCAGAGTTCTGGTCTCTGGGGATCAAACATGAAGGGATCAGGCCAATGGGTTATGGAGAGAAAAGTGGGGATTGAATGGTGGGGGCTAAGGGACTTGGGGAGCTGGGTGCTGGGGCCAAGGGTGCCCTGTGAGGAGGATACGAAGGAGCATGTTCCCCCTAAATGCCATGGGCAAGAGGAGCAAGGTGCAGAGCATCTGGGTGGACCAGAACACTAACGGAGGGGCCAGGCACCCACAGCTATGATCAGGTTCTCCCAAACTTACTGACATTGGCAGGGGGAGTGGAGTGAGAAGGCCCCATCCTGCCTTACTGCCATAACTAGGTGCCCAGGGAGCCGAGTGGGTTGGAGCTGCAGGGCTCTGCTCTGCTCTGCTGCTGCCAGTGAATATGGGGGCACCCGAGCCCTGCGTCCGGCATCAGACTCCCGCTATCCTATGGGCTCTAATGCACTGGGAAGAGGGAAGGAGGGAAGGGGAGTAGAGGCAGGGCCTGGCACAGAGGGGGAGTTGTCCCAGCCTTCTGCTGAGCCAGTAGTGGCGCAGGGAGGAGTCGTGGCATTTTTATAAAGGACTAGACACAATCCAGAGTGGGGCTGCCACATCCACAACCAAGGATACTTCCTATAGCACAGAGTCAGAAAGATGGTGAAGAGGTGGAAGGGGATGAGGAGGAGGGATTCACTGTGGGGCCACCCTGTGCTGTAAGGAAATGGCCTTCTTCTGTAGCCGTATTGGAAGGCCTACAGCCTAGGGCTTCCGTCTCCAGCCAGACTGAAAGATCAGCAGCCACGAGCTGTAAAGCAGGGAGTCACATCCTTGTATTCCATCTAAATCGCATTAAAATAGCAGAATGCCTAGCTGTGTAGAGGGACACCCCATCCCAGTGGCATCCACTAACTGAGAAAAACAGATCTCAAGATGGGCAAAGCAAACTTAGTTTACTGGTAGCATTTTGTCTGACACAAAACTCCCTATTAAAAGTTGGGGGTTGTGGAATCCTCGTTCTGTAATTAAGCTCCTCATTTTCCTATTGTTTGTAGAATCTCTGGTTTTATTTGTCTGCTGTATAATTAATTACACTGTGTGAATCATTGAAGGTGGTGGGATATGATTGGTTAGGTAATTTAATCATGTAACGATTGGTTAATAAAATGTTAGTAAAATAAAGGTAAGCAGAACTCAATTTTCACTATCTAAACTGGGGTCCTAGAAGACCAGCAGAAAGGAAAAAAGGAACAAATGGAAGAAGGAAAGACCTGGAAAAGAGCTCAATTCCAGACACGGCCTAAGAGTAGAGCTGCTAGAAATCCTCTGCACGACCGTGACATGGAGCAACCCGAATTCAGAGGAGACTGACCTTGCTTGGCCAACAGTGGACGTTTGCCTGCCTTGGTCAGGCTTGGTGAGGATGGCAATTCATGTGCTCAGCATGTGTATTCTGCTTGCTCCGTAATTGCTAATAAATAGAGAGCAAGGATGTTAGTGTGTGAGGCTCTTTCTTGGTGAAAGACTTTGCAAACCTGCAGGAAGTTACGTCCTGAGCCCTAAGAAATGGGTAAAGGTGTGTGTCCATCAAGCGTGGGAGTGAAATGCCTACAGTGAACTGCGTGTGACTGCTGGCTCCTGCTACCGGGGGGGATTGGCAGTGGGAGCCAGGAGAATGGGGATGGAGTGTTTGAAAGCAGAAGCAGAAAGTTAACCAGGATTTTACTAAGAACATAAGAACGGCCGTACTGGGTCAGACCAAAGGTCCATCTAGCCCAGTATCCTGTCTGCCGACAGTGGTCAGCACCAGGTGCCCCAGAGAGGGTGGACCAAAGACAGTGATCAAGCAATTTGTCTCCTGCCATCCCTCTTCAGCCTCTGACAAACAGAGGCCAAGGACACCATTTTATCCCCTGGCTAATAGCCTTTTATGGACCTAACCTCCATGAAATTATTTAGCTTCTCTTTAAACTCTATTATAGTCCTAGCCTTCACAGCCTCCTCTGGCAAGGAGTTCCACAGGTTGACTACACGCTGTGTGAAGAAGAACTTTCTTTTATTAGTTTTAAACCTCCCCATTAATTTCATTTGGTGTCCTCTAGTTCTTCTATTTAGGGAACTAATAAATAACTTTTCTTTATCGGCCCTCTCCACACCACTCATGATTTTATAGACCTCTATCATATCCCCCCTCAGTCTCCTCTTTTCTAAACTGAAAAGTCCCAGTCGCTTTAACCTCTCCTCATATGGGACCCATTCCAAACCCCTAATCATTTTAGTTGCCCTTTTCTGAACCCTTTCCAAGGCCAAAATATCTTTTTTGAGGTGAGGAGACCACATCTGTACACAGTATTCAAGATGTGGGCGTACCATAGTTTTATACAGGGGCAGTAAGATATTCTGGGTCTTATTTTCTATCCCTTTCCTAATAATTCCTAGCATCCTATTTGCCTTTTTGACCGCCACTGCACACTCGATGTGCATTACTTTACACTTATCCACATTAAATTTCATTTGCCATTTTGTTGCCCAATCACTCAGTTTGGTGAGATCTTCTTGGAGTCCCTCACAGTCTGCTTCTGTCTTGACTATCCTAAACAGTTTGGTATCATCTGCAAACTTTACTACCTCACTGCTTACCCCTTTCTCCAGATCATTTATGAATAAGTTGAAAAGGATTGGTCCCAGGACTGACCCTTGGGGTACACCACTAGTTACCCCTCTCCAATCTGAAAATTTACCATTTATTCCTACCCTTTGTTTCCTGTCTTTTAGCCAGTTCTCAATCCAAGAAAGGACCTTCCCTCTTATCCCATGGCCATGTAATTTACACAAGAGCCTTTGGTGAGGGACCTTGTCAAAGGCTTTCTGAAAATCCAAGTATACTATATCTACTGGATCCCCCTTGTCCGCATGTTTGTTAACCCCTTCAAAGAACTCTAATAGATTAGTAAGACAGGATTTCCCTTTACAGAAACCATGTTGACTTTTGTCCAATAAATTATGTTCTTCTACATGCTTCACAATTTTATTCTTTACTATTGTTTCGACTAATTTGCCCGGTACTGAAGTTAGACTTACTGGTCTGTAATTGCCAGGATCGCCTCTAGAGCCCTTTTTAAATATTGGTGTCACGTTGGCTACCTTCCAGTTTTAAAGGATAGGTTACAAACCACAGATAATAGCTCAGCAATTTCCCATTTTAGTTCTTTTAGAACCCTTGGATGAATGCCATCCGGTCCCGGAGATTTGTTAACATTAAGTTTTTCTATTTGTTCCAAAACCTCCTCTAATGACTCTTCAATTCGGGACAGTTCCTCAGATTCATCACCCACAAAGGACGGTGCAGATTCAGGAATCTCCCCAACGTCCTCAGCCGTGAAGACTGAAGCAAAGAAATCATTTAGTTTCTCCGCAATGGCTTTATCGTCCTTGATTGCTCCTTTTATAGCTCGATCATCTAGGGGACCCACAGGTTTTTTAGCAGGCTTCCTGCTTCTAATGTACTTAAAAAACATTTTGTTATTTCTTTTTGAGTTTTTGGCTAGCTGTTCCTCAAAATCTTTTTTTGCTTTTCTTATTACATGTTTACACTTGATTTGACAGTGTTTATGTTCCTTTCTATTTATCTCACTAGGATTGGACTTCCACTTCTTAAAAGATACCTTTTTGTCCCTCACTGCTTCTTTTACATGGTGGTTAAGCCACGGTGACTCTTTTTTAGGTCTCTTGCTATGTTTTTTAATTTGGGGTATACATTTAAGTTGGGCCTCTATTATGGTGTCTTTAAAAAGTTTCCATGCAGCTTTCAGGGATTTGGCTCTAGTCACTGTGCCTTTTACTAGGGCTGTTAAGTGATTTAAAAAAAATTAATCGCGATTAATCGCACTGTTAAAGAATAATGTGATTCCAGCTGACCCCTGGCTCCAAGTTGCACTGCCCCTTTGAAACACCGGGTCAGCATTTCAAAGGGGCAGCGCTGCATGGAAACACCTGCGATTAACGCACGTTAATTTTTTTAAGATATTAATTCTGCCCTGCGTTAATTGCAGGCATTAACATGCGTTAATTGACAGCCCTAGATTTTACATTTCTAACTGAATCTCTTTCTGAGAGTTGCTTATTCTCAGGCTCTCCTTTGTCTCTCGGTTACAGTTACGTTTTTAAATGACTCTATTCTCTTTCACAAGTCTCTGATTCACTTAGTGACATTTCTGAACAAACCTCCAGTGTGCTCTTGTCCCAGCCAAACACTAATATTAAAGTACTTGCCACTGATAGATCGAGACAGCTCTTGTCCTATGGAAGATGTTGTTTCTGGGGGATCCTTGCCAAAATCCAGTTCAGACATCTTCCAGCTTCCTCGGTGACAAATAGGAAGAGGTGGGTGTGGTGGTTTTTTTTGTTTTGTTTTGTTTTTGTTTTTTTGCAACCAACAAGAAGGATGTAGGCTTTCATCCCAGGTGGGATTTGAACCCACGGTCCCTGACTTACAAGGCCAATGCTTTGTCCATTAACCTATGTGGCTAAAAGAGACACATAGAAATTCTCTCCCAGATTTGTGTTCAACAAATTCACGTGGCAGACACCCTGTTTCTACACCTAACAGAAAGATCTGTAACCCCTCTCAGGCTAGGTCTAGACTATAGTCTTTTGTCGGAAAAAGCTACACAAATTGTACTCCGCAATTTGCGTCGCTTTTTCTGATAGCTTTTCTGGAAGAGGCTTTTCCGCCATTTGGCTCTGTCTTGACTGTGCCAAATGGTAGAAAAGCCTCCTTTTTCGGAGGAGCCCTTATTCTTCATTGAATGAGGTATACAGGGCTCCCCGAAAGAGCGTGTTTGCTCTTCTGCAAAAAAACGTGTTCCCTGGAGGTGGAGGAGTTTTTCCGGGATATCTCTGGTATCCCAGAAAAACCCACCAGTCTAGATGTCCCCTCAGTGAGGCAACTGAGCAGGTTGGTGACCGAGCTGAACACTACCTTTCTTCCAGACATCATTAGAGACGGCCCCATCTTATAGTTTCCCTTCCTTCATGTCTGTGGCTCTGGTGGCAGTAGGACAATTTTGTGGCCAATAGGAGGCTGGAAAGGTGCTATGGTCAGCCTGCAAGGAATAACCAGGCTGGGTATCCCAGGGTGAGGCTTATGAGCTGCTGGGGGATGGTTGCTTTGGGAACTCTTGATCAAAGCTGCACAGCCACATAATAGCCGGGGTTGTAAGGCAGACAGTGAGTCCAGTCCCTTGTAACTAAGGACATGCGGGAGTTTCTGTCGCCTAGTAACTTCCAGGAGATTCCGAGCAGGCCGCAGCCTCAGCTGCCACCTGCCTCACGGCTGAGGCTCTTGCTGCTCTGCTGGCCACCCCCTCACCTGAAAGGCCCAGAGTTAAAAGAAGCAGGCCTGGGGCAAGCAATGGCCAGCTTTGATAACCCATAACCACTGGGTTATGGACCCAGCCAGCTTCCGCTGCCCCACTCCGCAGGCTTAGCTGGGAAGGTGTTCCTTGGCCCACACCACCGTGACAGAGCAATCTTGTTACCTTCAAGCCTCATCTCCCTAGATCTCTTGGAGTCAGTCCTATGTGCCGCGCCTCAGTTCTGAAACTGCCCACTGAGGCCGTGTCCAGACTCAGGGGTTTTTTCGGGAAAAGTAGCCTTTTCCCGAAAAAACTTCCCCTGTGTCCAGACTCAAGCCGCGTTCTTTCGAAATTATTTCGAAAGAACGCGGCTTTTCTTTCGATGGTGGTAAACCTCGTTTCACGAGGAAGAACGCCTTCTTTCGAAAGTTCCTCTTTCGAAAGAAGGCGTTCTTCAATGTAAAGAGGCCGTCTTCGAAAGAGAGCATCCAGACACGCTGGGTGCTCTCTTTCGAAAAAGCGGATTTCTCTTTCAAAAGATCCGCCTGCAGTCTAGACGCGATCTTTTGAAAGAGCCTCTTTCGAAAGAAGCCTGCAGTCTAGACATAGCCTGAGAGTACGTTTCCCTGTGGAGCCTATTCACCACCCCCAGTGGCCCAGGAGGAAGAGGAAGCATTTGTTCATGAAGTCCTTGTGAAAGGGGAAAATGATGGTACCTGATCACTTGGGAATTTTGTGGCCCAAAGGAAAGCACTTGGGAGCCAAAGGAAAATGTTTGTGTTTCCAGATTCATCCAGAGCTTCCATAGTATAGGAGCAGTGCATAAGCCAGGATGGAAGTCCCCCTGAGTACACCCAAGGGGAAGGGGTGAGGTCTTGTGTTGTGTTGTGCAAATTATTTCCTGTAACCCATCAATCTTCATGTCCCGTTCAACTGGTTCTGTTTAATCTTACTTTGATGTATGTATCACGTGTGTGTGTAAAATAGACATATAGAATGGGGGATACTTTGTGTGTTTCACATATGTGTATGGGAGACATGGAGGGTGTTACCTGCAACTTCTTGATGAGCCACAGTTAAACAATCTTTTGTCCTTAAGTCTGAGCAGTGTTTGGTAGGGAGTGGCCTCAACTCC